TTTTTTTTTTTTTGTAATGACAAAATACAACAACTGTGGTCTTCTGCAAAGATCGACTTGCTGAAATAAGCGACGAGGAACTTTCAACGGAGGAGAGTCTACGATTAAAATGCGGCGATGTTTCAAGCTGTCAAGATGGTAGTTCGGGAAAGATTAGCAGTTGTAAGGTGAATTTTTAGCAGGCACAACGGTCACTGGCTCTTGGATGAAACGGCTCGAGGAATTATAGGCCCGTAAGCAGGTTAATTACGCGACTTTATTACTTTCCGTTTCACGACCGTCCGTATTTCCCTATCTTCCCACCCTCATTATCGTTAAAGATCGCCTGTAAACTACTTACTGTCGTAATTGCATTGATTACGACAGAATGTAACGACGATTAATGTGGACGAAGCTGGAACGTAATTTCGTATATTTCGACGATCTTTGTCGAAAGATGATTTTCGTTATCTCTCTCGATATCTCGCGGATTCACGGAATTATACGTTTAATTATGAACATTCTGGTTACGAAGGGACGATTGCTCGGGCTTATGAATTTATGAAATCCCGGGATTGAAGATTTAAAAATGTATTTTCGCACGCTGCGAGATTCTTTAATTCCGGATTCTGTGACAAACTTACGTATCTCTTTTACGGTGGATCACTCGCAGTGAATTAAAATTAATAATTAAGTTGTAATACTTGATCTAATTTAGTATGCAGTAACCAGCGAAATTAAGTATTCATATGTTTTAGATCAAGTAAATTATTTTTAGTCTTGATTGTGAATTATCCGTTTTCGTTAATTTCCTTCATTTTCAATTAGCACGTGATGAAAATATTATAAATAATATGTAAGATTGGTTAGAGGATTAAAATGATCTAGTAAAAATATGTAAATTATATTCACACATAAAAATATCCGAATCCAATTCAAATCTAATCAAAACCAAGGAATAATAAGCTTACCGACAAAGATATGATAATGATAAAGTTTCTATCTAGAGATAGAAAAGAAATAGAGTTTCTATAAAATCTCCAAATTTAAAATTAAATCATACCGATACAAGAAATGTCTAAATATCAGCTTGCGCTTAATTCAAACTTAATCCAAGCGAACAATTAATAAATCTTTCAAGTGCGATGAAAATGCGAAAAAATTTCCGTAGAATCACCGAATCTCACCTTGAATCATATAATTACTTGTTCCAAAAAAATAGTGTTTCTGTAAACAATGTTTTTTTAAATTTTCAAATTTAAAATTAAATCACAGGTGATACAGGCTCTGAATCTGCGTCGAAATGAAACTTCATTTAAACGAAGAATTAACAAACCTCCTAAAAGTGATGAAAACTGAATACGAAAGATTTCCCGAATCTCAGCTTGAATCGCGAAAAAATTACCCATCCTGAAGAGATAGAGTTTCCGTAAAATCTTCAATTCAATTAAAATTAAATGACAACGATACAGGAAACGTTCAAACGTCAGTCTGCGTCCCGAACTCGAAAGAAGGATTGATATCGAAGAAATCTCGAAAGAAACTCCGGAGACGTACGCTTGCAGCGTTAATCCACGAACGCGAATCCTCGATCCGGAAGTGCCTTTAATTGCCAACGTGGATCGAAAGGTAGTTCGACGAAATTCTCAGGCCTCGCCTAAACTAATAATGAAATCGCACTTTTCCGTAGTTTAATATTCCAGTTAATTTCCAGCGCTCAATCTTCCCGCGCGGCGACCCCGTTAAAATCTTCGATCCATTAATCTTTTCGGGGTTGAAAGCGACCGAGGCGAGGAAGGGGTGGGTCTCTCCGCGTCCGAGAGAGAAACCTTAACGCACCATTAAAACTTCGACACCTAATTACGTCATTCGCCAGTCTATGGAACTTCTTAAAAACGATCTCGGTGCATCGTAAATTAGTTACGTGTCGCACGCCTTCGCGGTCTTCGCGAACTAAGCATCATTATTAAATTGGTGGTTCAGCAAGGCTCTCGATTGCCGTTTTATCTGTGGACTCAGCTTTGAAATTTAAAGGGGCACTCACGTACGTGTCTTCAAGCATGTGAAGAGATAGGTTCTCTCTCTCTCTCCCTCTGTGTGTGTGTG